AATGTCTGTGGGTGTTAAACTTCTGCCCTTAAAACGGCTTCACTGGTGTTTCTGGAGGATGAAAATACAAAAATTCTCAAAATTGGAGTAAATTATTTTGCATAACATAGTTTTGGTTCCCAGAGAATAAATAAATAAATGAACTCAGAATCTCAGACGGTGGAGAAACCACGCTGACTGAACTGATCCCTGCAAAATAAATAAATGAATCAGCCTGATCTGTGCTTCAGACGGCAGCCGGAGCACCGAGAACCAAGAGCTGCAGGAACTATGTTGTTCAAATTTAATAAAGAATTTATTTTCACGCACTTAAAATAAACAAAATGCAAGATTTTGCTTGTTTTCAGGGAAAATCTATAAAGTTTTATTTGTTTAACAATTTTTCAGTCTTTCATTTGCACATCACTTCTTTTTTAAAACCTTTTTTCTTTTCCCTGATTTAAATAGTTAAAAATACAACGTTTTACAATAAAGTGTTGAAGCTGTAGATATTTAGTTTTTATTGGTTAAGGTGTAAATTAATACTTAAAACAGGGAAAATAAAATGGCAGTGAAGCGGCTGTTTTCTGATCCAGAGGAGCTGATTTTATAACAAACGGAGGAAACGTGAATCTCACAGACAGGACTTTATTCTCTCGCCTTCACAACTACAGGACAGGACGCTTCATACAAAAATATTGGTCACCAACGTAAAGGCTGCTTCTGCCGTCAGGTGTCAGAGCTGTGATGGAACCGGGCAGAGGCACAGTTTTATCTAGAACCTTGGAGAACATGTGGGTTTATTCCTTGGTGGCCATGTGAGCCATCAGGTCACAGACTCTGTTGCTGTAGCCGAACTCGTTGTCGTACCTGCAAGAGAAGAAGTCGGGATCAGCTCCGGAAGTCAACGTGACGTCATCAGACCGTCAGTGGACGTGGAATTTATTTTATCATAAACTCTGGATGCTTAAAATAGCATTTGTGAAATTTTAGATTAAAATGTCAAATAGTTTGAGTTTTTTTCAAGCTACCCGTCGACCCGCTTCAAAGTTTTTTTCTCACATTGGAAGTTGAGGCTGTTTGAACAACAACATCTCTTCTGTCATTGATTTAGAATCCGTAATATTCAATGAATTTAAGCGTGAACAGTTCTGAGACGTGAAAGTTCATTTAAAATAACTTGTTTTTGTGACCACATTTCCTATTGAGAGTATTCTACATGTTCAGGTTTATACTATTGTGACCTTTGTGCCAAAGTAAAGTAAATCAGTAAAATAAAAGTGGAAATAAAAAGAAGAATAAATAAAAAATAAATAAATGATGTGGCATTATTCAAAAATGATTCCATAAAAGAAAAGGCTAATAAAAGTAGAAATATAAAGACAATAAAATAAATGTATTTTTAATGTTTTTATTTTTTAGCTTTATTTTTTAATGTCACTTTAAAAGCAAAGGAAATCTGCACAGAAACAGCATTCCTACTGCACACGTTTCCTTTTTGCTTTTAAAGTGACAAAAAAAAAAAGAAAGAAATTTAAAAATAAAATAAATTTAAAAAATAAAAATATTTTATTGGTCTTTATATTTCTACTTTTATGGATTCATTTTTTGATTTTATTTATCTTGTTATTCTTTTATTGATTTATTTTTGTCATTTGGCGCTCTCACTGCTCCACATGCAGCTCCACCTTGTTCAGAAAACATCACAAGTTAATCAGTTGTTTTTAGTTAATGTGCTCAGAGATGGAACTTTTCATGACAGAGTTTCCATAATTTAATTCACCCACAGGAGATCGTTTGATCTACTGTCCAATATCACAGATTCTGAATCAATGATGAGAAATAACAGTGAACATTTTATTGTTGGTCAAACGGCCTCAAATTTCAATGTGAGGGAAAAAAAACTGCTGAAAGTGGATCGCCCCAAAAAAAGAAGTTTCACAGAAAGTATTTGGTGTTTTAATCCCCGACATCGAACCCCGTCTGAGCCGAACGACTGAGGATGGAGGTTATAAACTCACCACGACACCAGCTTGACAAAGTTGTCATTGAGGGCGATGCCGGCGCCAGCGTCAAAGATGGAGGAGTGAGTGTCGCCGTTGAAGTCCGTGGAGACGACCTGCAGGAGAACAGAGTTGACGAACCGTTAACGAACTAACCCAAAGCTGAGCATCTGATGGAGACGCCTGATGAAAACCTGGAAAAGTTTGGAGACTTTTTCCAAATTCAGGTTAAAAGCAGGCTACTGGCTGGATGTGTCGGTGGCCAACAAACATCTTTAACGAGCCCCTTCAGGCTTTTTGAACTGTTATAAAAGGCTCAGTTTTATACCTGGTGCTCCGTGTATCCCAGAATTCCCTTCATGGGTCCTTCAGAGGCGGCCTTCAGCACCTTCTTGATGTCGTCGTATTTGGCCTGAAAGTAGAAAGTCGTAATTTCATGACCTGCTGAGAGGAAAACTCTGCTGCTCATCGGTTACTTCTCAGACCACCGTTTCACTCACGACCGTTTTATTGCTCGCCAGCCTGATGCTGCGACATAAACGGGGATAAAAGACGACACTAAGCTGGAGGTTGATATCTAATGTCTGTTTTAATCCTCCTCTTGCCTGAGACTCTGAAACCCATCAGACGACTTCATCTCAAAGGATGTTTCAGTTCTTAAAAAGCTTCTTTAGGACCGGGGAGGCTGAAGAGGAACCAGGACCGTCCTGAAGCATCGAGTAAAAGAGGCGACACAGCTGGAATATAGAAACCCTGTGAGAACAGGACTCATGTCTACAGGATATAAACACCGTCTCTGTGCTGCAGCTCTTAAATCAACATCTGCTCATTCTGCTGTGTGCTGAACTAAACTACAGGCAAACGGAAACTTTCCGATCCATTGCTTCGTATTTAAACTCAGACTTTGTGGTTTCGACACCTGCAGAGTTCAGGAAGGCATGAAGAATAACAGGAGTTTGCAAACGATCGTTGTGAAGCTGACGGTTTCTTTTATAGAAAAAGAGATGATAAAAAAGGAAATTTACAGCCAGATGTCAGGCAGGTTTAGGAGCGTTTTCTGTCGGGTTTGTAGAGATCAGCTGCTCAGAAGAAACTCATCTCTGAATAAAACAGGATGTTTAATTGTTGTCGTAGATTAATCGTAGCAGCTGGACCTGCTTGAGTTCCTTGAAGACGTTCCACCTTCATCCAAGAGGCTTCATCAGCTCTGACTGATTAGTTGGGACACACCGAGCCACAGAAGACCTTAACGAACCCCTTTGTGTCAGGGGGAGCGCTACCGACTCACATAACGAGGGGGAGGAGCAACAAACCCCCAATTGAAACCCAAACTCAGGTGTTAACGGCTCCTTTAGGATGTCAGTATCTGGATCTCCCAGCTCGTCAGTCAGAGCTGATGAAGCCTCTTGGATGAGAGGTGGAACGTCTGCAAGGAACTCAAGCAGGTCCAGCTGCTACGATTAATCCATGAGAATAACGGTGACCTGGAGGACTGAGGATCTTCAGACAAGTTTAATTAGATGTGTGGCGACTCACAGGTTTCTGCAGACGGACGGTCAGGTCAACCACGGACACGTTGGGGGTGGGAACCCGGAAGGCCATGCCGGTCAGCTTTCTGCAAAACATGGATCAGAACCTGAGTACTGCATCTCCTCAGAAACAGCAGAACCAGCTGGTGTTAAAGAGCGTTGGTGGCACCGACCCGTTGAGCTCGGGGATGACCTTCCCCACGGCCTTGGCGGCGCCGGTGGAGGCAGGGATGATGTTCTGGCTGGCACCGCGGCCGTCCCTCCACAGCTTCCCGGACGGTCCGTCCACCGTCTTCTGGGTGGCCGTGATGGCGTGAACGGTGCTCTGACAAACACACACACGGTTAAACGACCTCAAACCCGTCTCTGGTAAACTCTGGTCGGTGAATGGAAGTGATGCTCACCATCAGACCCTCGACGATGCCAAAGTTGTCGTTGATGACCTTTGCGAGAGGAGCCAGGCAGTTGGTGGTGCACGAGGCGTTACTGGGGAGGAGCAGACAGCAGGTTGGATTTCACAAACCTCAGTTTCACAGAAACGTTTCCTATTTGGGACAGTTGGTGCAGAACCAGACTGCAGGTTTACGTCCTCTACAGAGGATCTAGGAGTCGGTGGAGGTGACGGTGGAGGACGGCCTCATCATCCAACATGGACGTTTTTATTTTACCCTGATGCTGCCATTTTATTTATTGTACTTATACATTTTGCAGATGTCATCTCGCGCCAATTCTGCACCGAGTTTGTTTTGTTTGTTGCTGAACTGGGAACCTGGAACTAGAATTCTTAACGGTTCTTCCCCTCAGAGACGTATAAAGCATTCTGTCTGACACTTGTTTTAACTGAGGCTTCCTGCTTTTAGGGAATTCTAGAGAAATGTAAACACCAGAAATCCCTCCAGTGAAAGAGTTCAAACTGAGCTGAATGAGATGAAACCAAAACGACAATCAGTCTACGATGAGCAGCACGAGACACAAAGGTGAGAATGTGACATTTAAAATGTGACTAAAGACAAAAACTGGTTTCTTCTAACAGGAATGAATTTGTAGTAAAACATTGAGGTGATGTTTCTCGTGCTGACGTTTTATATCTGTGAGCCTCAGCTGTTTAACGGGATATTTATTCTGTTTTATTCAACTTTGAGTTTTCTTCACTTTGCGGCTGCTGAACATCTGAAGCTCGACTCGTTTTCATCTCGTTTTACTTGCAGCTCGTTTCGGGTTTCAGTTCACGTGACCAACTTTGCCTTTTGATGTTTTGTTCTTGTTGTCCAAGTTTTTATTTTGAGTTGAAATAAAGGTTGAATAATTGAGAGGAAACTTATTCATAAATTATATACAGATGCTGCACAGGAACCAGTTCCTCAGTGGTACTGTGGAAGAACCGTTTAGCGTTTGGTTCTTTATAGAACCACTTCTGCAAAGAGGAGCACATTTTCATTTTTTTTTACAACTCGTACAGGAACGTTCTGCGGTTCCCAACTTTAGGAAGGAGCTCCCATCCAATAAGACACGTGTTCCCAAAGACAAAACAGATTATTTACAGGTTTCATTACTGCAGGAAGAGCAGCAGAACTCAGAGACCGGGTTTAAGTTCTACTGAAACGGCTGGTAAACCTGCAGTGGACTCTATAAATAACACTGAAGGTCGCTTTGTGTTCTTTGGCGTCGGTTCTCCTTCTTGGATTGTGTTTGGAGACGCCGACATGTTAAATATCGAGTCTTAGTCTAAAATAATTTGATAAAAGCAGAAACTTGTGTCTGATCAATCCAAGACCAGCGACTGAATCCTTTTTAATTTAAGGCTCTTAAAATATAATTTGCATTTTTTCCTGCAGTGCATCAGTTGGTACAAGAAAAAAATCTCAAGACCAACAAGTTGAAGGCCTTTGTTCGTCTGGATATTTCAGAAATAGATTTCACAGTCATGTTGTGTCTCCTACATTCACTGATGAAGTTCTTTTACTCATATTTTGAAGCTGCCCGTCAGAAAACTGTTTCAGCGCTTCGGTCAGTTCCGGTTCTTTGTTTGGTTTCTCATCTTTCACATCCTGTTTCAGAAACGCAACGATCGGAGGCGTGTTGTTCTCACCTGACCACCTTCAGCGAGTTGCTGTACTTCTCGTGGTTGACGCCCATCACGAACATGGGGGCGTCAGCGCTGGGGGCAGAGATGATGACCCGCTTGGCGCCGCCCTTCAGGTGAGCCTGAGGTGGTACAAGTCGGTAAATCACTGTTCTCAGTCACAAACTGAACATTTCTACATTTATTAAAACAACCAGCAGGTACAGAAGCCTCCTCCCTGCTGGTGAAGCCATTAAACTGAACATTTGTTTTACATTCAGTACATGGTGAACATACTGAGGCCTTCTCGATGGTGGTGAAGACTCCGGTGGACTCGACCACATACTGAGCTCCAGCTTCACCCCATTTAATGTTGGCCGGGTCCCTCCTGGTGGAGAAACACAGAATAAAAAAAGGTTAGAATGTGGTTTTACCGATGTGTGTGTATGTGGATCTGACGGTTTAAATAAAACCCAGCGGGTGAACGCACTCGTGGAAAACGGTGATTTTGTGTCCGTCGATCACCAGTTTGTCGCCTTCGATCTTCACTTCGCCCTTGAAGCGTCCGTGAGTCGAGTCGTACTTGAACATGTAAACCTGAACAAGAGACGAGAAGATGGTATAAATATTAGAAAAGCCTCTTTTAAAATTGGAGTTACAAAAACAAACCCCCCAAAAAATAATGTATAGAAAACCTGAAAATGGTAGAAAAAACTGAAAATGATAAAACATTAAAAAGAGGAGGGAAAAAAAAATTCAAAGATTAGAAAGAAAACCACAGAAAAGGCAAAAAAAAAACAAAAAACAACAGAGCAAACAAACACTAAAAAAAAGACACGAACACGTCGGAAAAGATCAAGAAACATTTGAAGAAAGGGAACAAAGCATTAGAAAAACTAAAACTTCTGAAATTAGACAGTTATAGGTTTGGAGAAAAAAATGAAAATTACAGTAAAAAAAAAAAAGCCAAGAAAACCCCAAATAAAGACCAAAAACAGTAAATTAGAGAAAGAAAACTAAAGATGGAAACATTAGAAAAGGCAATAAAACACAAAAAAGCCAAGAAAAGAGAAAAACTAAACAAACGCTGTGACGACAGAAAGAACATCAGAAAACACAAGAACATTTAAATGGAATAAAATATTACAAAGAGCCGAGAAAACGTCTTCAATTAAGATCAGAAACTATATAAAGTCGAATTCAAACACCTGATGGCTTCAGGCGGGTTCTGAACCGACTGTTCTGTTTGTTCCACAGCGCTGCAGTTAAAACACGGTTCTCCTGTTCTCAGTCTGAACTGTGGAACCTTCTGCCGAATCAAGACTTTAAGAGTTCTGAGTAAGAAGTGAAGCCACAAGGTGGTGCTTGATGGATCACGTTGTGACTCCAGACTTTAGAGCAGGGGTGTCGAATCCTGGTCCTCGAGGGCCACAGTCCACCATGTTCTAGATGTTTCCTTCTTCCAACACACCTGATTCAAATGATCAGCTCATCATCAAGCTCTGCAGAAGCCTGATAACCATCCTGAGTGTGTTGGAAGAAGAGAAACATCTAAAACATGCAGGATTGTGGCTCTCGAGGACCAGGATTGGACACCCCTGGTTTAGAGGCTCTGAATCTGTGGTTCTGCTGCAGGCTCACCATGTACTCGAGGTCGATGAACGGGTCGTTGATGGCCACGATCTCCACCTTCTTGGAGGTGAAGGCAGCTCGAGTCACCAGACGGCCGATACGACCGAACCTGAAAGCGGCAACAGAGCAGTTAGTCAGAACGGCCACTAGATGGAGACAAGAAACCAGGAAGTGTAACCACGGTCACCGATGGTCTGCTGGGACCAGATCTTGATCTGATAACGGAAAAATGAGACTCTCTCTCATGAATCCTCTGAGCAGCTTCTGGCTCATTTTTC